GTCTCAACGATGTTGGTCGACATCGGAGAAATCAGACGGTCGTAATCGCATATAAAACTAGTGGCTTAGCCATAAACAATCACAGACCATGGCCCTAGCCATATCTAATAGCCCGTCGACGACCCAACGGTTCTCGAGCTAGAGCTCACTTGTGCACAAAGGTTACACTTAACCGAAGTGACAATCGGCCTATTCTTGAATCTCCCGATTTAATAAAACCATTGAAAAGTCAAATCGAGTTTTCAAAAGATCATTTTAAACCATTTTCAAAATACCGATTATGGCAGTGTATTAAAACCCTTTTTGTATCACTTTGCAATGCAAAACCCTTTTGCATAACGGTTAGACATCAAATCAGCATGGTGAGTATGAAATCATTCATGAATGCACATCACACAATCAATAAGGCACATTTTCAACATAAATTATATTGAAAAGCTTGTTTCCCGATTTGAAAACCCTTTACGTATATAACTTGTATATATATAGTCAAAACACATTTCAAATGCTTAGGCATTCACAAACTCCTAGAATATCTACCAGCTCATGTTTTCCCCAAACTTGCATTTAAAATAAATCATTTCATATCTATAAATATATATATAATTATGAAATTATTTTTAAATGGACACCCCCTATTCACCTCAGAATAATAGGACACTACGTCGCTATTGACTTAAGCGCGTATCTAGCTAATTTCTACTTGCCAATATCTCGTTACCTCTTTCGAGACGCCACCACGGAAACTTTGCTTACTATTCTCTTCCTAGCATCCATTCAAACCCAATTTATTTAATTATGCTCATAAATGGTAGCATATCAACCAACAATCTTTAACTAAATCTCATAGTTTTGTCAACAATATTTACAAACATTTATCACACAATTCACATCCTTTAACCAACCAAAGTTTATACAACATACTATAGTCACTTTGCATGCTTACCTCTTAGTTTAAGATTGAATTTCCCAAATGTGATTCACAACTTCTTCACTTCTAGGATTACCTTTGCTGCCACAAAAATAATCAATCAATAGACATCTCATTTTTCCTTTCCACTTATGATTTCAAAGCTAAAACACTTATCCATTGTTCATTTTGCTTCAAAATAACCATGGATTCCAAGATCTACTTGCATGCATGCCTTGGGTCCATTGAATCCGTGTGGGTTCTTGCTACCACAAACAAAAGCACACTTTAAAATTGATTTACAATGCATGCATGTCATGAACAATGAATCACTTTAAAATTGAATCACTTACCTTGCCTCGGGTTCACTAAACCGAACCCTCCCTTTCCTTTTTCTTTTTCCTCCTTACCCCTTTTTCTCCTTCCTTTCTTCCTTTATCTTCCTTCTTTCTTCTCCTTTCTCTTTTCTTCTTGGTAGTGGACGGATCTCTCGAGCCTTGAAAATTTCTTTAGTTTCTCCATTTTGTGCTTACATGGGCGGATTGCTCGAGATCACTTGCCTTTTTGCCTTATTTTTCTTTCTTTTCTCTTATTCTCTCTCATGGGTGGATTGCCCAAAGTTGCATGTCTTGGTGGCTTGTTTCTTTTCTCTTTCATGTCACAAAACACAAGGCAAAAGCCTTGGCAACATGTCCACCCACCACATTACTTTTCCCATAGTTTTTCATTCATTTTTTTTAATTTCTTCATTCATCCCTATTCCCATTGGACCAATTCAA